CTCCAACTCAAAAAAAAAAAAAAAAATTAGCTGGGCACTGTAGCAAGTGCCTATAGTTCCGGCTACTTGGAAGGCTGAGGTAGAAGGATTGCTGGAGTCCAACAGGTCAACACTGGGGTGGCCGTGAGCATGTCACTGCACTCCAGCCTGGGCGACAGAGTGAGACTCCAATTCAATAACAACAACAAAATTGGCTTGGCATGGTGGTACATGCCTATAGTGCCAACTACTTGAGAGGCTGAGGTAGGAAGACCGCTTGAGTCCAGGAGTTCAAAGTTGCAGTGAGCCATAAGTACATGACTGTACTTCAGCTTGGGTGACAGAGTGAGACCCTATCTTTAAAAAGAAAAAAAAACAGACTCAATGACTCAGCCTGTAATCCCAGCACTTTGGGAGGTCGAGGCAAGTGGACTGCCTGAGCCTGCAGGTTCGAGATCAGTCTGGGCAACTTGGCGAGACTGTGTCTCTACAATAAATAAAAAATTAGCCAGGCGTGGTAGTGTGCACCTATAGTTATGGCTTCTTGGAAGGCCGAGACAGAAGGATCGCCGGAGCCCAGCAGGTCAATGCTGGGGTGGCCATGAATGTGCCACTGCACTCCAGCCTGGGCGACAGAGACTCCAACTCAAAAAAAAAAAGAGCCGGGCACAATAGCTTAATACCTGTAATCTCAGCACTTTGGGAGGCAGACACAAGAGGATTGCTTGAGTCCAGGGATTCAAGATCAGCCTGGGCAATTTGGTGAGACTTCATTTCTACAATAAATCAAAAAAATTGCTGGGCATGGTGGCATGCACCTGTAGTTCCAGCTACTTAGAAGGCTGAGGCAGAACAACATAGACTGCAGTGGCTGTAAGTGTGCCACTGCACTCCAGCCTGGACAACAGAGAAAGAAAAAAAAATTATTCCAGGCTCCTAACAATGATTCTTCATCTGCTAGCATCTCTGACTTGGTTAACACTGAGAAGAAGTTGTAAAATTTCAAATGAAATTTACTCAAAATAACTAAGGAAAAGGAATTGTATGTAGATAAGACAAACACACAAAGGATCCAGATGAATTAAGGGACCAGATATGGTGAAAACAATAGCCCTTCCAATACACGTAGGTGGAACTGATGCAGACTAAACAGTGAAAATTCCCAGAAGCAGAGAGGAGTCAGACAGCTTCAGTCACTAGTTATTTTCAATGTAGGAAGTTCTCTCACTTTAGAACTCTTACATGAAGGAAAAAAAACAAAAACAAATAATAGCAGCTAATCACAGAATGGGTACAAGGTAGGAAGTTCACTTACTTGTTTAGACAAAGGTGAGCTTCAATGAAGATATCCTTAGCTTTTTCAGGGAAGTCCTTTGTTTTAAAACTGGCATCATATTCTTTAATCTTCCGGACTCTGTAAAATTAAGCCTAGTCATCATTTCTTCTTTTTTTTTTGAGTTGGAGTAATCTCACTCTGTCGCCCAGACTGGAGTGCAGTGGCCGCTCCCGGACACCACAGCCTCGACCTGCTGGGCTCCGGTGACCCTTCTGCCTCAGCCTTCCAAGTAGCTGGAACTACAGGCACGCACTACCACGCCCAGCTAATTTTTGACTTATTGTAGAGATGAGGTCTTGCCAAGTTGCCCAGGCAGGTCTCGAACCCGCGGCTCAGGCAATCCACTCACCTCAGACTTCTAAGGCATGGGATTACAGGCTGAGCCACCGAGCCCGGCCAGTCATCATTTCTAAAGAAGACTTCATGCAATTACATAATTCACAGCTTACATTAACCTCCATTAGCATTTGTCCACTTATTCAACAAGTGTTTTTTCAATGTGTCAAATTATATAAATTCAACCTTCTAACTTTTTTTTTTGAGTTGGAGTCTCACTCTGTTGCCCAAGCTGGAATGCAGTGGCATACACCCAGCCACCACAGCCTCGACCTGCTGGGCTCAGGCAATCCTTTCACCTCAGTCTTCCAAGTAGCTGGAACTACAGGTGTGTGCTTCACGCCTGGCTTATTTTTTGATTTATCGTAGAGACGAGGTCTCACCAAGCTGCCCAGGTTGGTCTTGAACCCCTGAACTCAGGCATCCTCTAGCCTCGGCCTCCCAAAGTGCTGAGATTACAGGCTTGAGCCACGGCACCTGACCTCTAACTCTATTTTAAATCTAAAGAAAGACCAAGACTTCTCATAGTGCAACTTCAGAATTCTGGGATCAAAGAAACTATTCTATAGGCACAAAGAAAGAAAAAGACTGGTTAAATGCAAAGGCTCAAGAGTCAGAATGACACTGGGCTTCTAAATAGCATCATTAGAAGTTAAAAAGACACAAAGCAGCTTCTAGTCCAGAATTCTATACTTGGGCAAACCATAAACGAAGTGGAAGAACAAAAGACTTTTTTCAGACTTGCAAGATCTTATTTACCTATCATCCACTCTCTTTCTCAGGAAGCTTCTGGAGAATGTGTTCTACCAAAGTAATAAAGCAAGAAAGCAAAGGACCATACTGGGAGGCCAAAGCAACAGGACCACCTGAGACTAGCCTGGGCAATACAGTGTGGCCTTGTTTCTACAAAAAATTTTTTAAAAACCAGCTGGGCATGGTGGTGTGTCTATGTAGTCCCAGCTATTTAGGAGGCTGAGGCAGGAGGGTCACTTGAGTCCAGGAATTCGAGATTACAGTGAGTTATGACCATACTATTGTATTCCAGCCTGGGTGACAGAGTGAGACTCTGTCCCCCCCTCCCAAAAAACCATGAAATCCAGCAAACGGGAAACACAACACAATAAAGAGGTAAAAAGAAAAGAATATTAGGTCCTAAGATAGACAGTGGGCCGGGCACAGTGGCTCAAATGTGTAATTCCAGCACCTTGGGAGGCTGAGGCAAGAGGACTGCCTGAGTCCAGGGGTTTGAGACCCCAGGGGTTTGAGACCAGTCTGGACAACATGGAGAGACGCTGTCTCTACAGTAAATCAAAAAATTAGTCAGGTGTGGTGACACATGCCTGTGGTTCCAGCTACTTGAAAGGCTGATGTTGAAGGATCAACTGAGCCCAGCAGGTCGAGGCTGTGATGGCCACAGCACTCACAGCCTGGGCTACAGAGTGAGACTCCGACTCAAAAAAACGAAAACTGACTGGGCGCTGTGGCTCATGCCTGTAATCCCAACACTTTGAGAGGCCGAAGTGAGAGGACTGCCTGAGCCCACGGGTTCATGATCAGGCTGGGCAACTTGGCAAGACATCATCTCTACAATAAATCAAAAAATTAGCCGGGCGTGGTAGCGCGCGCCTGTAGTTTCAGCTGCTTGGAAGGCTGCTTGGGCGGAAGGATCGCCAGAGCCCAGCAGATCGAGGCTGTGGTGGCCGGAAGCGGCCACTGCACTTCAGTCTGGGCAACAGAGTGAGACTCCAACTCAAAAAAAAAAAAAAAAAAATTAGCTGGGTGTGGTGGCGTGTGCCTGTAGTTCCAGCAACTTGAAAGGCTGAGACAGAAGGATCACCTGAACTCAGCAGGTCAAGGCTGTGGTGGCCAGGAACATGCCACTGCCCTCCAGCCTGGGTGACAAAGCGAGACTCCTACTCTAAAAAAAAAAAAAAAAAAAAAAAAAAAGAAAATTAATTAATATAATACATGACCATCAATAAAGGACAAATGTCACATGATCATCTCAAAATCCAGAAAAAGCATCTGACAAAACCCACCACCCTTCATACTCTTTTCATCTCAGAGTCCTGCTTACAGTGTTGTCTCCTGAGAATGCTACTCCTCACTACTTCTGTCCACGCAGCTAACTCCAAATGACCCTTTAGGTGCCAACTTTAAATATTATTTCCTCAGGGAATCCTTCCCTGATCTCTCAGACCAAGTTATCTTTCCCTGTCACATGCTCCCAAACACAACTTATACTTAACCTGTAATTATTTAGTGGAGTACACTCAGTATTTAATGATTGTTTTCCACCCCTAGCTGGTAACTCCATGTTTTGTAAAACCACGTGTGCTTTGTTCACTATCATCATCGTGGATCCTACCATTCAAAAGCTCAAAGTCGACCCACCCGGGCAACTTGGTGAGACCTCATCTCTACAGTAAATTAAAAAAAAAAAAAAAATTAGCCAGCCTTGGTAGCACGTGCCTGTAGTTCCGGCTACTCGGAAACCTGAGGCGGAAGGATCGCCGGAGCCCAGCAGGTCGAGGCTGCGGTGGCTGGGAGCGGCCACTGCACTGCAGTCTGGGCGACAGAGTGAGACTCCAACTCAAAAAAAAAAAAGAGCTCAAAGTCCAAGAGAGAAACACACAAAAGGAGATTATATGCCTTAAACTAATGAGTAAGGAAGATAACGATTCGGGATGACAACTGAATCTTCACTGCTAATGTGAGACCAGTCCTTGAATGGGTAAAGGTTGCCCCTAAGGTGACTCACCTACTTTGCATAATGCCTGGGAGTTGTGATCTGTCCATCCCCTTTATATTAAAAAAAAAAAAAAAGGAAATCACTGCAGTACAGAGTTACTAGAAGTAGTAAGTACAAGTGTGCAACTGCAGTTATAGCAAAGGCAGCACCAAAAAGAGTCACAGAAGGCTTAAACTGGACATGATGCCTGAACTGGATCTGGAGAAATTAAGAAAATGTTGAAAGATTGAGAAAAAGTCATCCTGAGGTCATATAAAGTTGAGAAGGATCACAGATAAAAAAGCAGATTAATAAACAGACTTTCATGTGGAGAAGAACCACATTATACTAGAAAAAAATAGTAGAGCCGGGCTCGGTGGCTCAGCCTGTAATCCCGCGCCTTTGGGAGGCTGAGGTGAGTGGATTGCCTGAGCCCGCGGGTTCGAGAACCGCCTGGGCAGCGAGACCTCATCTCTACAATAAATAAAAAAAATCAGCCGGGCATAGTAGTGCATGCCTGTAATTCCAGCTACTTGGAAGGCTGAGGCGGAAGGATCTCTGGAGCCCAGCAGGCGAGGCTGCGGTGGCCAGAAGCGGCCACTGTACTCCAGTCTGGGAGACCAAGTGAGACTCCAACTCAAAAAAAAAAAAAAAAAATAGTAGGCTGAGGTGAGTGGATTGCCTGAGCCCACGGGTTCGAGGCCCGCCTGGGCAGCGAGACCTCATCTCTACAGTAAATCAAAAAAATCAGCCGGGCGTGGTAGCACATGCCTGTAATTCCAGCTACTTGGAAGACCGAGGTGGAAGGATCGCCGGAACCCAGCAGGTCGAGGCTGTGGTGGCCAGGAGCGGCCACTGCATTCCAGTCTGGGCGACAGAGTGAGACTCCAACTCAAAAAAAAAAAAAAAAATAGTAAAAAAGGAGAGGGAAGACATTTGCAGGTAAAGGAAAAGATATGCAAAGACACAGAGGCATGGCATAGAAATTGGTCATTAGTTTGGAAATGCTAAAGTTTAGGATGAGAAAAATGAAATAAAGGGTAAAACAGTGGAGAAGGAGGCAAGGACCAGATTATAAAATTCTTACATACCACTGAAGAAATTTGGACTTTATTCTCTGGGTAACAGGAAGCTACAAAAGAGTACTAAGCAGGAAAGATGATGTGATCTGTATGCAGAGAAATAAGTCATGGACATGTGCAGAATTAATGCTGACACAGTATACTTAAGCACATAAATCTGTACATGACCCTAAAGAACCTATAATTTGGACATAGTCAGAGCTAGAGTGACAAACACTAAGTGATTTTGTCCTTTCAACTAAATCTAACAAAAAGGTTAAGCCTCTGGTCTTTAACTAAGACCCAGTTAGCTCCCTAGAACAGGTACTTTCTTTATGACCCTTTTTGGTTTTTCTTACTCTCCGAAGTTTTTTTTTTTTTTTTTTTGAGTTGAGTCTCACTCTGTCGCCCAGACTGGAGTGCAGGGGCCGCTCCCGGCCCCTGCAGCCTTGCCTGCTGGGCTCCGGCGATCCTTCCGCTTCAGACTTCGGCGAAGCCGGAATTACAGGCATGCGCTACCATGCCCGGTTGATTTTTTTCATTTATTGTAGAGATGAGGTCTCACTGCCCAGGCGGGTCTCGAACCCACGAGCTCAGGCAATCCACTCACCTCGGCCTCCCAAATTGCTGGAACTGCAGGCTTGAGAAAAAAATTTTTTTAAATGTTGAAAGGTTGAGAAAAAGTCATCTTAAGGTCACATAAAATTGAGAAGGATCACAGATATGAAGGAGACTAATAAACAGACTTCCATGTAGAGAGAACCATGTTACACTAAAATAAAAATAGAATAATGTAAGTCTTCTCTCAGAGTCTCAGTTTCTACTTCTACAATATGGGGAAATTTCACTCTTGCCCTCCAGGAATAGTGTGAAAACAAGCTCAAAGGTGACCTCATGAAATATAGCATATATATAGTAAACCATTATTGAGGTCAAACTGATCTAGTGTCTAAATAAATGCCATCTATCATAGTTCAAGTCATTTCAAGTTCCAGAAGATCTCTGACAGAAGGGGGCCTGAATCAGGGTCCCAGAAATACCACGTCTCACCTGTACAGGCCAGATGTATGGGACGCTCCAAGTGTTCTGGAGGAATGACCAATCCTGCTTTCCGGGCATGTTCTATAAACTCCTTTTCTGTTTTGTATTTAGGCTCATAGGTAGGAGGTGTGAAACGTTTTTTGGTTCTCACTGGAACTACAACTGTTGACTGAGTCACCAGGACTGGCTGGAAGGTGAGGGAAAGGTTAGCACATAGGCAATCTGGAAAAAATAAACCTACTATCTTGAACACACTCTAAGCAAAGTCCTACAGAAAAGGCATATCCAAAGAATGCTTCA